TGATAGATATACACATATTGTTTCTAATAAATATTTAAATGATAAAATAGAAAGCTTAAAGTCTTCTTTTTTCTTTGGAAATGATCATATAATAATAATAATAATAATATTATTATTATTATTATTATTATTCTTATTAATTTATTTTTTTTAATAATAATAATAATAATATTATTATTATTATTATTTTTTAATAATAATAATAATAATTTTTTTCAATTTACTTCCAGTTAAAAGAAATTTTGTGGTTGGCCAAAGAATTTTCATCTGTAAAAAAAAATGCTTCAGATATTACTGGAGAAATGCTCTAGGTTTAATAGATATAGTCAGGCCTCTCTAAGTATACTTTTCTAAGTGCACAGATTAAGTAAATTCTCTCTAAATGCACGGTATAGTCTAGTTCTAGCTTATAAGAACCCTATATAATTTGCTCTCTATAAATATATATCCTCTTTAAGTATACTCTTTTCATTTTTTTTCTATGGTCCTGAGAGAGTGTACTTAGAGAAGTTTAACTGTAGAATTTCTTTCTGATTCATCAGTCTGGCTCATATCACAATTTATTGAAATCAATACAGGCAGGACCGATAGCAGTAATAAAAACTCTAATGATCTTGCTAACTCTCTTGATAATAATAATCTTGATGATCCTGATGAAGAATATGAACCTATTGTTAGGCCTAGTAACTTCCTGAATAAAGCATATCATATGCAGTCTTGCACAAAAAGAGTTTTAACTAGAACTAGTTTATCCACAGGTATAGCATTGTTTCTCATCTTCCTAATAGTCATTTCACTGACAAGCTATTACCTAATATTACATAGTAGTCAGAGTTAGTATTTTTGTTAGCTATGAGTACATATATTATTAGTAAATTATCACTTTGTAATGTCAGATAAATAGCCTGTCAATATAATAACTATTGGGAAATTAGATATAATTAGAAAAGGCAATGACTAGCTATTTTAGGCTTAGCCAACCGGCTAGACTTAAAATAGCTAGCCATTGCCTTTTCTAAATATAATCTAACTAAAGATTATATTAAATTATTAAATATGAATTTGACAAAAAGCACTTGTCTAACCAACAATCTTTGAAATATTTAATAAAATAATTAAAAAAACTAATAAAGAAAAGCAAAAAGAAGTTGGTAAAGAAGAAGCAAAAGTTGATAAAGAAAAGCAAAAAGAAGTTGGTAAAAAAGGAGCCGAAGTTGATAAAAAAAAGCAAAAGAAAGTTGGCAAAAAAGAAGCTGAAATTGATAAAGAAAAGCAGAAGAAAATTGTTAGTATATATTGTAAAATAGTAATAGATATCAGCTATATAAAGTAATTTTATTTAGTATTTGTATACTTTTTCTGGTTTAGAACTCTATAAAAATCTTTTTTAATATTAGAAGAAGAAACTTCTAGAATTCCTAATCATCAAGAGTCCAATATTAGCACATTTGATATTAACTATCAAGATTCTAACACTGATAATACTAAAATTATAGAGACTCTTGCAAA